CCTCATTCACACGATAATGGCTTTAATCTTCCTTTATATATGTATAATCCTGTAAATATAAATAGAGCATAATAGTGGGTGTAGAGAGCGATCAATTTGTCTTAATGTCATCAATTTTCCTTCAATCCTACTCTCCATCTCATCCCGTCTCTTCACTTTCACAACAATAATTCTTTTCCATATTAAAGTAATGTTTCTTAATGGCAAAGTCATTCATATAAACGAATACGTGTAAAGGCTTGGCATTTTTATGTTTATTGTTACATTGTTGTTTAACGTTAACAAGTGATGTCATGTCAGTGAAACAAATAAAACGAATCAATCGAACCCTCTTTTGACAAGCAATGCGTCTAACACGGCAAGGATTGTCCACTTGCGATTTTCGGCCTCTTGAAATACGAAGGATCGTGGTGAATAAAACACCTACAAAGTAATAAAAAAAAAAAAAAAAAAAAAAAAAAAAAAAAAAAAGTGCATAAATACGAAAGTCAACATTCGACATAACAGGAGATGCGATTCGAAAATAACACGCGCCTCATCCGACACTTCCTCTTGCTTTCTAGGAAGGCAATGCAAAAATTTCCAATCAGGCTTAGCACCACCTTCTTTAGCCAACGACAATGTGACCTGATATCCAGCGAAATCCTGAAGTCGCTTCGCCTTTTCAGACTCTTGTCCCATGCTGATCCTAAATATAATAATAATTTAATTGCCGTGATCACCACACGGTCATCAGCTTATGACCTACCAAGTATCGGTGACAATGACATCCGCATCTTTAACAGCCACTTTGGGGTCATGAGTAAAGCTAACTTCTGTGCTGGTTTTCGCCGCCTCGTCCATTGCAATTTTCACCACATCATCAGACGGACTGTATCCTTTAGGAGTTGCCACCGACAGGTGAACTCCGAGTTTCGGGAATGTCACCAACATGCTGTGCAAAATATTATTACCATCGCCAACCCACGCGACCTTCAATCCTGGAAGTGTCTCTCGAGGATGCGTCAAATGAGCGACATAGGAAGAATCATCCTTAGGCTGAGGACCGAACATCTCGTGCATTGTCACCAAATCAGCAAGAATTTGCGTTGGATGATATTTATCCGAGAGGGCATTGATCACGGGCACGGTGGAATACTTTGCCAATGTCTATTACGAATTCGAATCAGCACACCTGCAATGTACAAACGTGCGGGTGAATTAAAAAGTAACTTACCTCAATATCGGAGTGCGCACCAACACGTGCCATTATGCCGCCCACCATACTAGACACAACCTTACTGGTATCCAACAATGATTCATTCACACCCAGTTGAATATCTTGGGACCCCAGGAACATTGGTTGTCCACCTGAGGAACGAGAGTGAGCAATGTATAATGAGCATTAACGTGCTGATGATGCTCAAGATTAAGAAAATCAATCAGTCACCTTACCAAGATACGTTATGGCTGTTTCCGTGGCAACCCTTGTTCTAGTCGACCTTTTAGAAAACATTATCGCAAGCGTTTTCCCAAGTAAGGGTTGTCCCGACTTGACATCCAAATATTTTACATTATGTTTATGCTGAATGGCCGAAGTAAGTAAATTATAGATCTGCCGAGAAGATAAATCAGCGTGGGTTAAATAATGAGGAACCCCCGGTGGAGCTGGGGCGATATTTAGTGAGGTCGACTGAGCGGTAGTTGCATGAAAACTAGACACACGAATCCATCTGTTGACGAAGTCGAACATCAAAAAGGTGCCCGCGGATGGCCGATTTATTATGAATTTAGT